TCAGTTTTGATAATAGAACTACAATATTCAGGACCAAACACTTTCTAGTAAGTGAATCATCATTTTTCACGTGTGTATTAAATCTCTTAAAATCTAGATGTCAAAAGTAGTGGAGTAATGTTTTAAATAATACACATTAATAAAATAGCTTCAGGTGAAATGCCTGTATTTTATATCTCATGATAACTTTCATTAGAGCAAGAGGTTGATTCAAGCAATAAATGTTTCCAAAATAAGACACAGCGGAATCATTTAAACCCCACCAGCCACAAATTATTAAGTGTGGTGGCAGCATTTGAAGAATATTCAAGCAAGACTGAAGGAAAAAAAATCTAACAGGAACAGTAACTCCACCTTATTATATAACATTTTCAACTTATTCTCATCAAGTTTCTGAACGATTACTTGTCAGTGTGAATATTACAACCAGTCTGAGAATCATTCAAGGTATTTTTCTTGGGATAAATAATCAAGATGAAGTAAAGAAAATGTGACTTTCATACAAAATAGACAAATTGCTTTTGCCATACCAGGTAAATGGAAGTCAACCTCACAATGGAAGCATTTGTGCTATATTCAGCGCATATTTTCCCATTTCAAGAACACTCATCTTAACTATAGAAAGTGGTTTGAACACACAGTTGCCACTGATGCATTACAAAACAAGTGCAATTAGCCACAGCATTTGCACCTGCATGGACAAGCTTCACTTCTGGTCCCCGTCCAACAATAAAATCTGAGCAAAAATGCTGGTCGTATGACTAACCAACATGAAGCTTGAAATTGCTCGGGGTCTCTCATTCACAAACGCTTTCCACGTTGGAACAAATATTGATTCACGATTTCCCTTCAATCTAACTCCCCCCCCACCCAAAAAAAATGCTTCTACAACATGCAGGAACTAAGACCAAGACTGAAACAAATTAAATGAACACGGTCATGTGAAAAAAAAGATCAGCACAAGCGCACTCAGATGGATGCAATCAACATGAGCTGCTGCTTCAAGTCAGTCAGAGCTGTGTACTGTTGGGCTTCTCAACAGCCCATTGAGCTGACAAAAACGAAACAGTTAAACCTGTGGTTTCTGCAGATACAGACAGGCCTACAGGTCATTCTAGCCCCATCAACCCTACAGTCAAGTGAGGACACATCACTATTTCCTTTCACGTAAGGCAAGCTGTGCTCATGACCATTTGCCATGTTATAATGATCGTTGCATTTGACATAGCGCCTTATCACGTCTTCCACCTGAACAAAAAGTGTCCAGACTTGCTCACAAAGCTTGCTTCCATACAACTAGTCATTCTGCTTCATCTATAATTCTGTTTAAAAACTTTGGCATTATCCTATATATTTTTTTAAAAACTATTTTAAAATTCAATACAGAAGCTCGTGTATTCCAGTTTCATTAAGTCCCATAAATGCCACGTAACTAGGATCGACACATAAAATCCTGATCATATGTGGCGTTTCCCACACTTAAATTGCTGTGTTAAGACAAGAATTCAACAGAGCAAACTGGAACACTGCAAGTCCAGCAGTTTTTAAAAGATGGACGGTTTTCAGATGTATCCCATCATTCGGAACATTTGAAAATCCCCGTTGTGATGTCCCGTAGTCGAATTCCTGTCATATACAAGAAAACATCATCGTAACACAACCGGCTTGTTCTCAAGTGCACTGTGGCATGAAGTGCTGCTAAACTCACTTGTTTCATGATGGGCAGTAACCGTATAAGTGAAACAAATCCTACAGAGCAGGACACTATAATGGAGTTCCCTTGTATTACTTTGGGAATTGTCATAACAAATTATTGCAGAGATTAACTTCAGGGCATTTGGAAATTCAGCTGGTTTCCTCTCAAGCATTTTGAATTTTGCGTTACATCGAACCAGTTTCACACAGCTGCGCTTCTCACCCAGGTTAAGTCTACCTTATTCTATATGACATGTCCAATGTGTGCTCTTTATTGGTAGGTTTGATGTGAGTTTCTGTCACCGTATTTCAGATTGTTGAAGAGTTTCATCACAAAGGGTGCTGCTCTCGGATAATGGTAATTGGATTTGTGCTCTCCAAGGTAATTGGATCATCTCCCCAGGTAGAGAAGGAATTTAATGACCAGCTGGTGCTTTCAACAAATGGTATGGAAAGCAGAGACCAGGAAATACTGGACAGGAAAAACATGGCAACTGTATGTGCATACCTTGAAACTTAAATGATGAATACGTACATAAAGCTAGTAAACCTTGTTGTCCAGCGCATATTCTATTGTCTTGATCTATATGTTTACTGCTAATTCCAAAATCAATAACTCAAGTGTGACTTTGGAGGTGTTTAAGATTATGAAAGTATTTGATAAGTGGAGTCCTGTAGCTCAGTGGTTAGAGCACTCCCTTTGCAAGTGAGAGACCTGAGTTCAATTCCAGGCAGAGGGCGAAACCTTGGGCAAGTTTCCTTACTCCACACACCTAATAATAATCCCTCCAAAACCAAAAACAATAATAAATTGGTCATTTTCAATCTACGACTGTTTGTGGGACATTGCTGTGCGCAATTGGCTGCCGCGTTCGCCCACAAATATACAGTCAATTCACTTTACAGTGTGTTCTGTGAAGCGCTTTGGGACGTCCTCCCGACGTGAAAAGCGCTATATCAAATGCAAGGATTATTATTATTATTATAAGGTAGACAAGAATAGAGTGTTTCCACTGGTTGGCCAGACCAAATGCCTAAATAAGTTTGAGTTGGCTCGTGCAGAGTGCAATCCAATACTTTCAGATTAAATAGGCTCCGATATATTATTGAACGGGGTATAATAATAAGTAGCTGTCACTGTACGATGCAAGAACTGCTGTTTCTGGGGAAGATGTATCTGCTGTCATAACTGAAATGCTTACAGGTACATGTGTCAGTCACTCACAAGAACATTGTTTGACAATATCATTGTACCATGAAAAGCACAACATAATTTCCAAGTACTATTTATGGAATGCAGAAATGTATTACACTGCAGTCTTACTAAATAGAGAATAAAACAATTCTGAATCGCATCTCTCCACAGGGTAAGCTAGAAGATTCCTTGGAAACGATATTTTCACCCAAGCTTCTCCAAGATGACATTATGCTGTATGACCTTACATTGCCTTTGAGTCGTCTAATAGGCACATTACAAGTTTTATTCTTTTGTAGTACAAGGTAGGTAGTGAAAGCAGCAGCAACAATCTACTCAAAAATGTGACCCCTCTTGCCTTCAAAGACCAATAGGTTATGTACTTACTTGGTTACTCGAGATCTACTGATTTTATGCCACTTCTCATCATTTGTCCTCTGAAACACTGAAGCCCAAACCTTGTAAAATTTACAAAAAGGATTTTCCAAGGAATTTTGACAGCAGGTTAGAAGATGAACTAATTTTTTTGTCCGGGGTGAGGGGAGGGGGGGTGGGCGGGGTGTCAGCCGAGTGCTTGACACATACAGAACCCCATCACCATGCTTAAGAGTCTCCAAACCAAGCTGAGATTTCTATGCATCCTACCGACACGTGGGAATCCCAGAGACAGATGAACTAACTCAGTCAGAAGATGGTAAGAGGGGATCCGAGTCATATTTGCAGACATCCCGTGGAAAAATTCAAAAATAAATATCTGGAGCCCTATTTTCAACTAAAAGATTCCAATTTGGCTAAGATCATCTTGTCAGGATTATCAGTGGGTTTTGAGAAAAGAATCAGAGATCAGAACGCAGCTCAATGGTTGGAGCTCAAAATGCCTCTCTCGTATAAAAAGTTAGGAGCATGGTCTTTGTCTGTGAAACTTGGCATTGAATCCTCTGGTGCATTACCCCTGGGGGAAAACTAATTTTAACAACAGATCTAGTTTATGCCACAGTACAACTGACACGGGTTTCATTAATTCTAGGAATTAAGACTCATGTTTTACTGCCTCAAATTTCGGTTTCAATTCAAAGTTCAGGTCATCACCTATCTCTAAACATTCATACAAGCAATTCACTCCTCTCTATGCGCATCCATGGAGAATAGTGCAGCTTTGGAGAGTGAAACATAAAGAGGGGTCAATGCAACAACAATCTAGGAGAATGATGTTGCAGCAAACCCATCAAGGCCAGGGGTGGTGAACTGGAAAAGACAAAGATTCAGTGGGGGAGAGGACGGAGAGATAGGATGTTGCGATGTCTGGACAAGAGAAAATGTCCTAAGAAATACAGCTGTCTAGTATGATTAAGATCATTTGTTTTTCGAGTCTAATCGTTTTATAATAGCACAATCTGTTAAATGTCAGATGGTTCTTTTATCAAGTGAGTGCAATAGTACTAAAACAGGATTGAAATTGCCTTCAACATTAATAAACGTTCAGTATATTATGATTAATCTGGAATGAACAGAAGTCTACGCTGAAGCTCTCTCTCTGATTCTACGAGCACTGGTCAGTTCATCTTAATTCCTTAGGTTTTATTATATTTGTCGCTGGAGGAAATGCTACCACGTTCATTCTACTTATTATCCTTTGTTTGATTCTAACATTACACGTCTGGTTTATATGATCCGTTGGTGCCACAAGTTCATGATTTCTGGACAATCGATTGTATCAAATGCGCATTCTGTTTGGAGTAAAAAATAAGCAAAAAGCACAGTGTCATTGTCAGACAAGCCAGTGATTCCAGCTTCTGAAACAGGAGCCCAATAATCGTACCACATCCCCACCCACTCCTCCATAAAATACTGAAAATTATTGAGTTAACTTTCGACCTGTAAAAATTCCTGATCTCTGGTGGACATTTCCAGTTTATGCACCAGGCTGCCAAAAGATTTCCGATACTAAATTAATGTAGCTGCTCAAAACTCAATCACTGCACCTCCCATCACCAGGTTATTTCTTTCAGTTGCTTTGGGTTGCAATTCATGTTTAGCAGGCTTGCCACATGCCATAGTGCCCTGCTTCATTTATCAACGTCCCTTTATTATCAGTCATTTGGATCCTTACCTGGTTTGGCCTCATTTGCTGGAACTTCTTCAATATATTCTGAAGGAAACCATCCAACATGTCCCCGTGTACTACCTTCCCAGAATCCTCCTTCCCCAATACTCAGAACTGATGGGGATAAAAAAAAAGCACAAGATTAATTCAAAAAGCAGAATTCCGCAGATGCTGGAAATCTGAAATAAAAGCAGAAGTCGCTGGGAACACTCAGCAGATCAGGCAGCATCTATGGAGAGAGGAAAGTGAATCAATGATTCAGGTCGATGACCTCTTGTCAGAACCCTGCCCTGAAACGTTAACTCACTTTCCTCTCTCCATAGATGCTGCCTGACCTGCTGAGTGTTCCCAGCGACTTCTGCTTTTATTACACGATTAACTCAGATGTTAAGGCAAAGTGTTTTGGATGAAATGAAGTTAACAATGTTCTAATTTACTGTTACCAAATGTTTTACTGATCCACATATGCCACTGAACAAAAAGCACAACATATGGTGGTAGTTAACCTCATGAAAATACCATCATCAGGAATAAACAACATTGGGGTTGTTCCACAAATCTGGTGGAAGAGAATCAATGATCCGTATCAATGTCACACCAGTTGTAGCTACACTGCAGCCACGTGCATCTATTCTTGCCTGAAAGTACTTTATGAAATTGAACTGAAATTACATTTGTCTTAACTTAAGGCACCCAGGTATGTCCACTTGCAGCTTTCAGTTATTTTTTTTCAGATTCTGACAATTGGCTCCTTTTTTTTTTTGAACTGCATGTGTGCAGCCTGATGAAAAAAATCACATCGACAATTTCTGACGTGGCATTTCAAGTGTTCGTAAATGCATGGTCCAAGAATGAGTAAAAAAAAAATGAAAAAGCAACGGAATACCATATGTGAAAAAAAGCAGCGGGAGTAACAAATACTCCAACATGAAAAGTTCCGGTTAAAAGCGTCTCCCTCTGGTGTTATGAAGCATGTTAGCAACGGTGGTACCGAATGCTTAAAAAAACCACAATGGAGAGAGACTTCATGCAGGTAATGTTTTTTTTAGGCCAACCGAGTTTCTGACACATGTGCAAAACCATCACTGTGCTTAAATGAGTTGAGTGTATGTTTATGTTTGTCTGGTATAGAGTGCGCACTCTCTCCCCAGAGGGATGCATTGTGTTTGCCTAACCCCGTTGAATTCAGGTTGGCAAGAGCAGAGGTTTTGAGATTCCTGAGTTCCACATTTAAGGTAACTATCTATCGTGTTACGATGAATGTTAAGATCACAAATGTTAAATGTGATTCAGAATTCTTCTGTTGCCTCAGGGGATCTGACGCAAGATTCAAATTTCTTTTGACAGTGTAAAGGATCTTTAATCCGATGCGACAGCTGGAAGACACTTTATAGATGTTAACTTGTAGTAACTACACATAAACCAACAACTAATTAGCGTAGGAAAAAAAGACCAAAGCAGTTCGTAGAGATGGGAAAAGAAACAATTTGACGTAACGAGACTCCTTCAAAGTTCCAGAAATGAATGGTAATCTCTTTGTCAATTTTGAGCACAACTGCTGTATTATACCCTGTTTGATGATATTAATAGGTTTGTAGTTAAGCGCTCTGGGACGCTACCTTGCATGAGGGGCGCTATACAAATGCAAGTTGTTGTTGTTGTCGTCGTCGTCGTCATTTGGACCAGGAGACACTGCTACCCGTTATTTCAAAAGAAATTTGGAAAGAGTAACATTGATAATTAATGATGAGCGGTAACTGTGGCTTTACCAATGCATAAAACCCAAAGATTACATATGACATATTGCTCAGATTGTTAATAAGAAAGGCTAAAAATAACCTACTTCTGAAAGATTGTGGGTTAAACTTTCTTCCAAGTTCTATTAAACAGGTTAAGCATTAGGATGCTAAACCTATCTTAATCTGACGTGACATGATGTGAAGTAAATCTCTGGAAATGCTGGCATACTTTCCATAAACGGCAGTTACTGGTCAATAAAAATAATTTACAAAATTGAAATACTTTACATACAAATAAAAATCACTGGATTTTAAGCACTTAAACAAAGGCAGGATCCTTGAATCCAAGCAACTGATAAGAATCATTATCACATCTAGCAGAGAATTATTGTTGATTTTTTTTAACAATCTATTATTAACATTGCAAGGGTGGCAGGAAGTAGTTAACACACAATGTGGGAGATATAATAATAATCCTTGTATTCTTGCAAGGAACATAATGTAATGTTATCCAGGAATATATTTTATATAGAAAAATAAATTGTTGAAGCCATACAATGTTGAAGAATCTGCCTGAAGAGGTGTCTGTCAAGTGTGAAGCAGCATCCGGAGGGTAATAGCTTGTCAACAGCATCACAGTGGTTGTGATCTAACTAATTAATATGCCACATGACTAGTGTTGAGTTCTTAACACTTGCTGTTTTGCAGTATGATACTGAGGGGTATGTGGATAAGGCAGGGCAGAGGGATTTTAATGAACAATAATAGAAATTGACATTTATACAGTAGAGTGCCTTCCACATTGGGAGGACATCCCAAGCCACTGAGGCCTGGTACAGACTACATGAGTCGAATGGTCTACTTCTGTGCTGTAAATTCCTATGATTCCAAAATGCAACCTTTTCAATTACGCACTATACAAATATACTTTTATAGCAGAATTTCAATCCTTGGGCTGCTGTTATTGTCTACACCAGCTGCTGTACCCGAAGATCTGGAAGGAAGGTTTGCATAATTGCCATATCTAACAGGTTGAGACATTCCTGGCTTTCATTTTACATTAATTGTGAACATAATTACACTTGCAAAATAAATGTTAAAATTGTATTAAACCTGGTGTACAAATATACACGGTAGATAGATGTCTAATGATAAAGACCTGATCCATATATTGTCACAACTGTTTCAAGAAAAAAAATAACAGCAAGAAGCAATTGTTACACAAGTATGTTATATAAACCAAAATTTAAAGTCAATTTGAAAAAAATAAACTATTACTAACCTTTCACCCTATCTCCTTTGTGGAGGGGAATCTCCCCATCTCCTTGAGGCTGATACGACCTCAAAACAACAAATTGCCTTCCAGGAACTGCACTATAGAGTTTGCGTTTGGATCCTTGGTGTTCCAATTCGGAGACCGACTCTTTATTAACAGAAGGACTGCAAACAAATACAAGGACAATGATTATCGTAAATGATTCTGCAGAAGAAATGTCATTCGCAGTGAAATGGATTCTTAGTTTTAATCGTGCACAACCGTCTTTTAGAAGTGTTTAATGATTTCTAAAAAGAAAATCGGTTGTTTCCATCCCCTCACCCAACCAAAAAAAAAACAAAAGTCACCTATCTACATAACTGTCTATAAAGGTCATATGTTTCCATATTTATTCTTTAAAAAAAAATCAGCATTGTTAACTGTGTTGAGAACTGCATGTGATTGACCTAGATTTGTGGAAACTAGGCAAAGAACCATTGTGCTTTCTTGTTGAAAGGCTGAAATGTACTTAAGGACTGGGAGCTTTTTCAGCAAACACTCTGCTAGATACGAGTCGTGTTATTATACAGGCATTGATGTATGAAAAATATTCAGAAAAAATTTAAATTTTTGGATTCATACTCCCGTTCCAGAATTCCCCATCTACCATGATCTCTACTGAGCCAAGAAGATAAGAGTGCAGAAATGGTCCGGGTCTCAATTACTCCGATGAACTGTATGACATGTCTTGTAGGAACAGAATTCCTCAACTGGAAAGAATCAAATGTTCCTATGATGGCATATGACTGTTCAGTTACTTAGGTTTTCTTCTCTATTATAAACAATTCAAAGATCTGATGCTTGGAGGTAAAAATTTTAATAAATTATAAGTGCAGCCGATCTAACATTCAGCAACACTTAAAGCAAAAAAAAACTCCTAAGTATGAATCAAATGGCATCTGGTTAAAAGTATTCATTAGCAATGATATGGTCAGATGGAAATGATTGAGTGCATTCATCCTGACCTTCGCTTTTAACTTTTCTGGACTGTTGCGATATATCTGAACCAAAATAAGGCAAGCTAAGAAATTAGCAAGTCTCTCTCTCTCTTTTAGCAAGTCATATCTCCCATAAATGATACTGATATCTCAGTAAGAAAGTAGTGAGCGGAACACTTAACGTTTCACACTTACAGCAACACTCAGGAGGACAAACTATTTGTGACGATACTATTTTAAACTTTAGAAAGTGACGGGAGGAAATAAAATGGAGCAATAAAATAAAAGGAAATGTTCCTGTGATAGACTTTGGAAGATTTAGACTGCTAGCAATGTTCTAAGCAGCCACAAATCTGTATCATCCATATACAATCTATATTTAATCTATAACCAAAGATCAACTAACGATAGATTTCGCCCACAAAATATACAGTCAATTCACTTTACGGTATATTCTGTGAAGCGCTTTGAGACGTCTTGAAGATGTGTTAAGGCGCTATAACAAATGCAAGGATTATTATTAGTAGTAGTAGTAATAGCATTATTAACCACCACCTGCATTAGTTAAGAGGGATCAGTTCACACCTAGAAGCCAACACAAACTGGAAAAACGTACTCAACTTGTAAATTTCTTTATTGACATGGCTCGTCAGAAATGAAAACACTTCAACAACTGTGTTAAATTGGGAAAATTATTAAAATCTGCTTACGCATTATTTATCTATAGTACTCCGGTTTCCACCTGGAGTGAATTACGTCTCAGAAGCCTCCATTTTATTCCTTCTGAAACCAACCAACCATATAACTGAACACAAGAATAGTAAAGAGCGCCAATCTGTTCCCAGCAATATGCCAAGCCACTGTTGTGGAAATTAAAATTGCTTTTCCACTGATACTGTGGCAACCACCCTTGGGTACAAGATGGATTTTTGCATTAGCATCAACTGCTTTGATGCCAATGCCAGAAGATGAAAGCGGGATTGGTTTTCCTCCTGACGTTTGCAACTGATCGCTCTGAATACTATTTCAATTGTTTCAAACTGATACCGCCCCCACCCCCCTCCCAAACAAAACAGCAAACATATTAATAAATAGCATCATTAACTTTAGCTTGCTGTCAGAGGGACAGATCACAACCTTGAGCTCCTCAAATTCAGATCGTTTTATAATGCAACTTACCCTATATAAGATGCAAATGCACTGTTGACAAAGTTATTTCAGACACACGTACATGAGATATATACAATATTCAATTCAGAAATTGGAAAACGTTGGACAATTACTAAAGTTGCTGTTGCTGAAACCAAATTAGGATTGTGGCCCATATAATACCAGTGAAGAAGGGTTTTCGCTATTGTGTGTAGATCAAATAATATGGGTCTTTTTTTTACTGGAACATGTAAGTTTAGGATGGGAATTCAATAGACATCTTTGAAATACTGAAACCTTTTTGACCGGACACCTTGTGAAAGATTGTTCCTGTTGATTGGTACATCTGTAACAAGGGGGCAATAAACTCAGGATTCTCACTGGAAGACTTAAGGGGGAAAATTAGAAGAAAGTTTTCACCAGAGGTGATCAGAAGATGGAATCATTCTATGATCAGAAGAAAAGGGAAGTGGAAATCTACCAGTGTTTGAGATCAAACTTGAAAAATCCTTAACACAGCTGTTATATAAGGAGAAATATAAGGAGGATGTTAGCTCTGTACCAGGTTTCTCCACAAGACAACTTCGCAAACGCTTAATGTAACTTGAGAGGCTATGTAAAAGCACCTATCACCCATGTAGATCAGGAATTCTCTTGAGCTCCTGAACTCTACACTGAAACATCAAGTGGGCAATTATAGGATTGCACAATTGTACTTGTATCAGTGTATAATCCCAAAAACAAACACAAAGTAGAAATCATTTATAAAATCATTATTTGAGCTGGAGGAAGAGGCAGACATTCTGCTCCTGGGCTTGGGTTATGCTCTTCTACATTTGGCTTCTAAGAGAGACATTTCACAGAATGCACCGTATGACAATCTGTCCCTCCTTGCGGGACGGCATCAAACCATGTCCCAGTTTCTGCTCGACAACTTAACTAAAAATTTAAGAAGGGTTTGAAGAGCTATATCAGGCATCACCAGGAGGTTTGTGGTAATCTAAAGCCCTATTGAAGGTTGACTCGACCAGCTGGCTGTTTCATCAGTGAGTACATATGTCACCAAACTCACAAGCCTAATAACAGGTGGTCTATGTGGTCAAGTTAACATTGTCATCATTATCACTTTGAAATGTCTAGAAGTCAGCACAGGAATTGATGTACAGTGTGGTGTCCGTTATTGTATGGCCACTTTGGTTTACAGCAAGCTCCCACTAAAAAGATTGGACAGGTTACAGCTTTTGTCTCTGGAGGTAAGATGATTGAGAGAGAACCTGCTAGAGATGTTTAACATTATGAAAGGATTCGATAAAGTGAACATTAATAGGTCGTTTCCACTTGTTGGTGAGTCCAAAACAAGGGAGCAGGGATATAAGATTGCTGGATTCCATCATTCTATGTTAAACAGCAATAATAAGGTGAGCAAACACATTTTGTGGAGTAATGTTGCTTAGGAAAAACAATAAAAGTACAGTGAACTTCAACGGTACTTCTTAATAAACTAGAACATTTAAGATGATTATATTGATAATAGATGTCAGAGGGCAATAAGCTCCAGATTTCCCCTTCATGTAAACCTATCACAAATACAAAATTTACTTTGCCTCACCTATTTTGAAATCATCCATCTATTATCCGATATAGTACAGATGGTGGTTTTCCTTTGTGGGTAGCAATCATTCCAGAACTCATTATAAACTACTTAAAGCAAGTCACCCATATAGGCACGTAAGCATTTCGTTTTGAATTAATTTTCACCCCTCCCCAGCTGTCACCTGTGAAGTAGCTGTTCTTCATGTGAAACACTATTTAAGAAATGTTGCAGAGCCCAGGGAGGAGAAAATTAGGGCACAGCAATTTTAAGTCGCCAGCCTTTCATATAGATTGAGGACAATTGTAAATCCGTGCCAGAAATTCAAATGGAACAAAACTAAAACAAAAACTGGAAGAAAAAAAAAGTCTAACTTTTGTGCTAATAGGCCTGACTGCCTTTTGAACCCTGAATAATAATTTCTATTTCTTCTGTTTTCTTCAACAACTTGGATGTATACAGCGTCCCTCACGAGAGGTAGTGTCCGCTTGCATCTTTAAGTGCTCTTTTTGTTCTTTTCACATTGCATTGGTAGCAATTTACAATTATTTCAAATTTAGCACTTTGGAATTCTACTCTCAATCCAGTAAATCTTCGAAGAGACACACTATAACCTTTAGATAAATCGCACACACTAGATTTTGTTTTGGGCTTTAAGATGTTAAAAACAATTCTCTGAAAATGCTCCAGATACCAGGAAGTTTTTCTTTAGTAATTATCGACCGGAACAGGTTGCCAGGAAGAGTAGTTGAGGCCAGGACATTGAAAAGCCTTTAAAAAGCAGCTTGATACTGTGATGTGATGATGATGTTCTGTGAGGGATGAGCTCAGATGGTCCGAAGGGCCTTCTTCATCCAAAGTCATCTTGTGGCATCAGTCACAGAAGTGATGGGAGTCAATTCATTCCCAACGGCCTCATTTTGGAGACAGAAAAGGCTCTGTTGTGGTTGACTAAAAATCACCTCTGAAGTATTTTTAAGTCAATCAAATAGAAGAGTACTGTTTGTTACGGCTGCAGCTCAATCACTGATGTGTTTTCACTCATTAGTTGCCCACAGAAGAATTCACCTGGACTTCGATGATGGGAGGCCAAGCTTTGTCCTTCCACTCACTGATATCGCTGTTCATTCATAAAGGAAGCCATCAAAGATAATTGAGGTAACAAGTCAGCTGATGTCCCCCGTACTGACATGGGAATTACAGTCTAAATAAAGCTCAAGGTTAAGGTAACAAAGTGTGTCTTTCTGAGACACATTTGTGCTCAACCTAATTCCTAGTTCTAGCAGCCAAAGGGCTGACTTTCAACAACCTGACACTGATTTCCACTGCACTTTTTTTAAAAAAAACGAGACATTTCCGTCTCCAGACCAGCAAGAAAATGCATTTTACTCACAGTTATCAATTCTTGTCCTCTTAGTACTTGACTACGTTTTCCCAAAGATGTTAATAATTATTGCTCATTGCAGTCACGGCTGCGTACCTAGGAGCCTTTATTAAGATTAAATTGCAAAACTGTACTTTACAAGACTAAAATGCAAATTAACCTTCCAGTCGCACTCAATGTGAATAGTGGGGAGAAAAATAAATGTCTGAGGGCTTCAACAAACATTCTACATTATTAACTACATTGTGAGTAGTGGCCTCTTTTTTTTCTTCTTTTTTTTTAAGTCAGTTGCGTGTCTGGCACATAGAAACCCATCCTTGCTGCTTGAGCGTTCCCATACCAGACTGAGAGTTCCAATATATGTATGCCATCTACACATAGAAATTTTCCTGTGTCTGGAATGGAATGACACTCTCTCCCTGGAACTTCCACGCCCTTGCTCACGTGATTCCGGGGAGTATTAGATGCAGATTGTCAAAAGTCGTGGCTTACGGACCTCAGGATCTGGCAAGCTTCCCACTGATTGACCGTGACTAAGACCACCCTACCAGTCGGGGCTTTGGCCATTTGGGCAAAAGGCAATATTTGGTGTCATAAAGCGGTACAAACAAATTAGGAATAAATACAAATGGCACTTTGCTTCTTTGGATGGTGTTGGTGGGAACTCGGATGAGTTGCCAAATGAGGGGGAAGTCTATTTTAATGATTTGTTTAGAGATAGTTCAGAGCAGTTGAATAGAGAGATGGCTGTAGCCACAATCAGTAAAACAAACACTGGCTACTTTTACAGGACTGGGACTGAAATGGTTATAATAATGTTCTGGCTTATGTGCAGCTAGCAATTACTAACAATTGAAATGCTTCACCCTTTTAGTGCAGCCCGGGCCGGGCTTTCTGCGAGTGTTTAAATGTTATAATGCAGTGAAGCGCAATACAGTACCTGATCTGTCGATGCTGCGTTCTCTTGACTTCCTCTCCAATTCTATTCAGGGATGGTGAACGGCTGCGGGAGCCATGGGTACCACTCCCACTCTTTATAGTGCCATTGGGATTGTTCTGCATCTGTTGCAGTAGTTGTGGTGACAGGCTCCGGTGTGAAGTGGCAGATTTGTTGGCTGGCCAGTCTTGTATGTCGTTGATGTTCAGGTTGTTGTCACTGTTGGAACGAAGCAAAACACGTGGGGTCGAGAGAGTGTTCTGAGGCCCCCGCCTTCGATTCGAATAGGTCGGTGCCTCTCGAAAGGGCACTGCGGAGAGAAAAGAGAAAACGTTCAAAAAAAATTAACATTTTACTAGCACATTATATCCATATTGACAAAAGGAACAGATTGTTTCACTCAGAAAAATGGTTTCACTGTGTTGTATCCTGACATTGATGATCCTCTTTTTTTATTTAAGTAGTGACTGTACTGTAGATTTTTCCAAAGCGGGTAACAAACACAGCAATACCCAACACATTGATAGATATTTCTTTTTCCTATATTTATCCCCCACCGTGCACAGGAAATCTGCTGTGAAATGTGCACTCTTGCCACACTGATCTGAGAAGTGTGCCTCAACTCTCAACCGTTCCAACTGTCTGGTACAAAGTAGAGATGTCAGCACAAAAAAGCAGCCAATGTCACTTTCACACGCTGTTGGTCCAGCTACGAGCTGAAGAGGTGGGTAAGTTATGGAAACACTGAGCTGTGAAGAAGTTAATTGTCACTGAGGTATGTTGGCAGAAGACCATTCAGATACTTGAGCTGGCAAGTCGCTCTCAAACTCATGGTGAACTGCTGCGAGCACCATGGGTACCAAATCCCACTTTTTTATGGTGCCAGTGGGATTGGTATAAAAGCTGACACAGATACAATGGGCCAAATTACTTTCTTCTGTCCTGTAAAATTCTCTTGGTTCTATATTCTGCACCGCTTGCAGTCATTGTGGCAAAAGGCTTCGGTGTTAAGCAGCAGATTTGTCGGAGGGCCGAGGATCCGAACTAGTTAGTACGCCTTTTTTTATTAAAAACTATAATTTAGCCATTGCACAACTGACAATTCATTCGGGAAACACTCGGTGGTTTGAGGAGTACTTTAAAATTCCAGCACTCCAACATTCTATGTAAGAAAATATTCAGTCTGATAAGTATTTATTCTTAAAATTAAAAACATCTCGATTTCCTGAATTGAGAGAGGTCCTGGAGTTGAGTTCAATGATGGCGAGTGTCCTCCATACGAGAAACAAGGAGGGAAATGGGACTTCAAATCAGCTTGAGAGCCAGTCCTGAGCCATTGTATGGTGGGAAACTCTGCTATAGACATGGATTGCATCTTTAGCTGGGCGTGTGGTTCCCATGGCTCCCGATTTGCTCTTAGGATTTAAAGCTCAGCTTGTCTCTTGTGAAGCTGCTCTGGGCCCAATGTGTATGATTCCAGTCAATGACATCACTTGAGGGTTAAGCAGGGAGGGAGATCCAACCCAAGAGAATTAGTGAAGTGGGGTGTGCATTTCACGCTGTTACAATTAAGCACAGCCCCAGAATTCCCCAGCTTGATTGCTAACACTTTAAGGCACTGTGTTACATGCCAAATCCAGGAAAAAGATGCATCTAGAATGCGTCAGATAAAGAGGATTAAAATAAATTGCAAAAGCACGGCAACTACTAGAAATTTTCACCTTCCTTCCTTTCCAAACTACTAGAAACAAGATACCATTCGAAAAAAGGTACAGAAGTGACCTTTTTGAAACGTTAAACACAGGATTCCTGTGCTGGAAATGTTTACATTTACGCTGTATATTTTCTTGAATGCTGATGTACCACAGGAACTTCAAACGTATTCACCAGAGGAGTGAACACACTGGGAATCACACCTTCTCTGTTTGTATATTCTAATAGGTGTGAATCCACTGCCCTCAAAACCACCTCTAATAAGTAGCATTAGCTATAAGACTCCATTGTTTAATGATTTGTTTGTCCTGTTTATTAGGCCACTACGAAAATCAGACAAATTTGCCAACAATTGTGCAGCGTAAATGCAGAATAAGTTCTAGTACGAGAATGGAACTTCTTAATCGTACTCACAAGCAGCATGAATACACTAGAAGACTCCTCAACATGCTTAATGGACCACCATCATTCTCTTGCATACTTTGGTCAGGACATACAGTGGAACCTTGTGTAGAAGAAGTGTGGTCCTTGCTTTTGGCTGAAACTCTATTGATGTCAATATGGAAATTCTGGCCCAAATAAGATGAAGCTATGAAGATGTCATTTTGCCGGAATCCAGGACTGTGTTTCCCAATGGAATTTAAAAAAATAAAATGTCTTTACCTCTTTGGAATTAGTCTAATCGCCAAGCTTCAAAATGCAAAGAAATCAAGAAATCAGACTTACCATTTAAATTCTTGTTCAATTGCAATTTTAAATGGCTGTCACACACCCCATCCCACCCCCACACCAATAAACACAGTGAAACGGTTGCTGCATCACTCAAAATGGTCTGGTTTGTGAGAGTAAAGTTACAGCACCTCTGCCAACCCACCCTATCTCCTTCCACTGTGTTTAGAACGGATGCCAAAGCCTGTGTTGATGCTGTCTTATTTGTTTGGTCCTTCTGTCAAATCAGTCCCATAAAAATGTCAACGGTCAAACAACTGGATCAAATCAAGGTTGAGCCAACATCAATTGGGTCAATTTGAAGCTTCCAACACACGATGTTGCTTTTTTTCAAAAAAACGAAAGTCCCAAGTAACCTTGTGATCGGTGTGTTTTTGTTTAAAAGAAAAGCAAATGGTGTATTATATGTAGGGCATGTTAACTATACAAAGCCTGATGCAAGAGACTTGTTGCAGACTTCATTAACAAATCCAAGTAATGTGCCATTTTCCACAGATGTCTATGGACGTTGGTAAATAACAGGTTCCATTGTATGCTGACTCTTAATTTTGCTTTGACATGAACGCTTTCTTCCCAAGCCTAAAACGGATTTCCGTTCCGCTAAGTATTAAATGTCTTTCCAGCTCTGCTTTGAGTGGGTATCAGAATGCGTGGGAGTCACTTTCTTCTACATGTATTAATGCACATGCTCTGTCACCGAGAAAGCCATGAGCCAATACCAAAAGACCTTCAGTAGGTGTTAAGTTCTCTGGACAAACAAGTTGCCTTATTGCAATCCTCTGATTTTAACCAAATCACAACTCGGGTCTTAAAACACACCCGATTAGACTCTGTAATCTCTGCAGATTAGAAAAACAAAAAAGGATAATATCCTTTGGGAGCATGCATAAATTTTCTAAAAATTCCCGCTTTGCCCACAAGAAGATCAATAAATCACTAACACAGACAGTTTTATTTTGTTCAGTGGGGAGGGGGTGAGGGGTGAGGAAAAAACGGGGGGGGGGAGCAGAGAGTAAGGAGAGGGGGGAATGGAGTTCTTAAATTGTTTGTGAGAAATCCTGCACACAAAATTGATAATTCACCACGTTTCTGATTTAAATATTTCTAAACTGTTCTGCTCAGTACTTTTCGGTAGTTATGACTCAATGCTAAATACTCAAAAGAATAACGTAGCTGTTACCTTAAAGAGAAAATTAGCATTTTATGCACTAATTGGGCATTATCGAGTGCTGACCTGCCAGCAACATTAAGCGCCTGCACTCAAGCATTTAATAGTTATGCTTCACTGATTAGAAATGTCTTTACGCAGCAGGTGCATGAAAAATAAAACCACATTCTCTGAATCTAACCAGACTAGTCACAGTTTCTCTCAATCTCTTTAGATCTACCAATACATTGGCTTTCAGCTTCAATCTCAATAAGTAATTAAATGACGAGAACCAGTTTCTTTGCCACCTTTTCTTATTTTCTTCAATTATTCCACAAGTATTCAGTCCCAAAATACTGCGTGCTGGAATAAGCCGACTTTCACAGTGCTTGAAAGGATCAAGGAGACGTGCTCAATTAACTCACGGATATTAAACAATTGAAGAGAGCATCTATATATAAGCATCCACTTGGCAGCAGTTTAAACGCACGACATCGAAAATTCGTTGCATACATTAATTAAAAAAAAATCAAACATTCCGTTAACTAGAAATCTAAATTCCTCTTCTTACACGAGCAGAACATTCTTTCGCACCGGCATCCTTACCTTCTATCTTTAAGGCATTCAAGAAAGACTTCATATTTGCTACTTTCACAATAAGCTGGTCATCATTTCAGCCTGCACTACCCAGTTTCTATCTGCTTTAGCTGCCTGAACCCTAAAAATAACAGCAGGTTCCTGGGCTCTGAGTAATTGCAAGCATAGCTGGGCATGGAATACCCAGAAGTCTGGTGACAAAACCCACCCCACATTCTGTCTGTCAGCTGGAAACCGACTGCGTAAACTGGAGCTGCTTGAAACCTTCCTGTATTTCGGAGTATTAGTCATGTGAACACTACCACAGTCTTTATACGTTGGAGTGCAATAAGCCCTGGATTTATGAACAAGTACAAACAACCCTTCCCCCCCAAAAAAAACAAGGTCAAGATAATGGCACACGCAGCCAAGCTTTGCCCTGTTCATTTATGGGGTTTCTTCCATCATAGTTTGCCTTCAAACCACATCATTAGATCAAGAGGAAAATCACCATGGCAAACAAAATCTAATACGTACAATATCACACATGTATCAAGATGAAATCACTAATTAAGGCTTCTGTTTCTAAATCTATTTATAATTCTTTAGCTTATTATGTGTGAAATTACATTATCTGAAAATATATATATTCGGTCATGAATATTCTCACCTACAATTCAATGTACTGACTTATGAATTTACAGGAGTGTAATCATTTCGAAATTTTGATTCAGTAAATTCAATTTTTTTTTAGGGAGCTGAGATTTTCTTCTGTATTTTAAATTTTTAAAATGGTAAGCAGTCTTCTAGGTTATATTATGTATTTCTATATAATCTTATCAATATATCATAACTTCTAGAAACAGTGAGTTTTTTTTAAAAAAAGCATATTCATACCTACTGCACAACATTAAAAAAAATGTTTATTTCTTTAAAGCACTTAATAATGTTACCCAACACATTTTATTAATACTGTATCTATAAAAATATCAATTGATATTGAACATATCAACTGTAACTTCCAACCTGATATATGAAAACAATATTACATCATTAAAAACACATTGATGTATCCAGAGCAATCAAATGTATTTAAAGATCTAAAGCAATCAGCCTGTATTTGCATATTTATTGTTGGCAAATAG